GCTGGATTAAGAGCAGTTTAAGAAGCTTTTCCACCAGTTTCTAGAAAGAAAGAAGGAGGAGGGCCAAGCTGGCTTTGCCATGAGGGAAGGGAAGAAGGAGCAGAAAGCAGTTCAGATTGATTGAAGGAGAAGCCACTCGGAGCGGCGCTTTTCTCCTTCGCAGCGCCAGCAAAGAGAACAAAAGCGTCTTTTCAAACCCACCGGTCCCGAGCCCAAAACCCAAGAAAAGGAGGAAAGCTGAGAAGGCTGAACGATGTTCTCATTTCGAACAAAACACAAGGTTTGCGAGTTGGAAAAAAGAGGTCCAAAAGCAAGCGCCCCTGCTGGAGAATCCACAGTTGCCCTCAGGAGTCTGATTAGACGAGCCAAACCAACCTGGGCAAAAAACCTTGACCTTTTTTTCCAAAAAAAACATTTCTGGAAAAAAACAAGGATTGAAGGACGATGTGTCCTTCGCTACACTCCTGTGATTCTGCGACCCAAACACTGCTCATCCAGAAACTACTGGGGTCTGAGATCCTGACCAGTGTTAGACGAGGAGATAAACAGCAGCTCCTGATAATCCAGAGGAGATTTAAAATACTGGGTCTGTCTCTGGCTCTGAGGGGCTTTGAACCTCAGGGATCACAGCTGGGCATGTTGGAGGCTAGGAGACAGTACGAGACTGGAGACTTGTGTGTTAGCAGAGTCGGTCAGAGGGAAAGACCCATACGCGTCTGGATGTGATGGGAATAAGCGGTTCTATCAAGGCGTAAATCACTCAACAATATCCACCATCACGCTGGGCTACTGACTTGATCCTCATCTCCGTCAGAAGAAGGTTCCAGAGGATCCAGAGTGCGAACCTTGCCACTCAAACAGAGGGCTACGGCTGTCATTCTGGACCCTGGATGACTAACACACACACTGACACACCTCTCACACACACTTCACCTGGAGAGCGATGTTTCCCCACTACATTGCATCCTGGTGGGGCATAAAGTGAAGATATTACCACGTTGAAGGTCAGGGTGTGACAGTGGAACAGAGGGCAGTTAGAGAAAAGAGGGGGATGATTACTATTGTATGTTTATTTCTTTACAGGGAAAAGCTTGAATTAAAATCAGTTAACTCATCTGGCCTCGCTTTCTGCTGTCTCACATTGTATTACGTATTATATATATGTTTGAATCTTTTAGTTTTTTAGTTTCTGATCTTTTATGTTTGGTTCTTTTTTATTGATCCTGGTGGTTTTAAAACTCTTGGACTTCGTGTTTGGAGGAGCTGATGCGATCCAAATGAGTAGAAATCAATGGTAAGTTATCAATAACTGCATGCTGTGAGCAGCCAAAGATTGTTCCAGATACACAAACTTTACTTTGGATTAAATGAAAGTTCAGTGTTTGGGGTGGACTCTTTGTGTTGGATCTGTGTTGTGGACTCTGTGTTGTGGACTTCTGAGTTGGACTCTGGTGTTGTGGACTCTGTGTTCGGACTTCTGTGTTGTGGACTCTGCGTTGGACTCTGTGTTGGTGGGTGGTCGTTACAACCTGTTCAGTCACTGCTGATCTGGAACCTTTTTCTTTTAATCAGAGTTTTCTTTGATGAAATGAACTCAGGTACCAGAGCACTGTCTCTATCATCTACCTGCACACTCTGAGGTGTGCTGGGGGTCTGTGTGCAGTGCGCGCCCCCCCCCCCCAGTAGCTCCAGATGGTCCATTGAGGCGGGAACATAATGAGGGGCTGGAGGATCAGTGGCGGCAGCCGCAGGGTGGGCCACTGCCCTGAATGGAGGCTGAAGTGTGGGAACGAGGAGCCGACAGCAGCTCTCACACATTCCTCAGCACACAGGCTCAAAGACATGAAGACGTGTTGTTTGGCGTGTGGACGACCACGCTGGAATGACGTGTTTTCATCTGCACGGTGTTATGACTCACTTGTGAGAAATGCAGGAGCAGAGAAGAAGAAAGACACAGTGCACCATCTGCCTCTTTACGTTCAGGGTCATTAACACTCATTAAAGACGTCCAAATTACTCTGAGACTTCCTGCTTCGCTCGGGGCAACCAGCCCCAAATATATCATTAAATACTCATTGTAATAAATACCTTCACTGGAGTAAAAGTATCTGGACAACAAAGTACTCCATTACAAGTTCAAAGTCCTTCAGTCTTCACAGGTTTATTCTCTGTATCATAATACTTACGTATTATCACTACTTCTATCTTTAAGTATATTATTGGTCACGTACAATGAATTTGTCCAAAAAGAATTCTAATAAGTCTGTATGAAACAATTCTATAAAACATTCCTACAAATCTCAAGAAAACAATTTATCCAAATTTCTCCTTTTACACAAACCTCCTGCAGTTATTGTGTTTTTACAGTTATTGTTATGCATTAAATATAATATAAAGTTTTAAATATGTGGTTTAGTTTGGGCTCGTCGGGGGGGGGGGCACCTTTGGCCCAATGTGCCTGACTGAACATACATGTGTTTGGTTGAATATTTAGAATAAAGTTTGTTTGTGTGGGTGTCTCTGATTCTCCTCCTGATAGATTAAAAGCTTTAAAAGCTCGCAGTCTGTCTGCTGTATTTCTGTTTTCAGTAAATATAAAATATAAAAACTTCCAGAGAGCAGAGGAACAATCTGTTCTCTCTGATAGCCAACAGGTGGAAATGTTAGTAAGCAGCAGCTAGCTCCGTACAGGTAGCTGTACAGTGAGGATGATGATGATGATGATGATGATGATGATGATGAACACTGACAGCTGCTGGATGAAGACATTTCATATTCAGTTGTCAGGTTAAAGATTGAAACTTTTTAAACACTGCAGTGTCTGTTCGGTTGTTATGGTAACGGTAGGACTCACATTGCTTCCTCTATGAATGTATGAATGATGAACTGATAATATTTGTGTACTTTAGCTGCAGTGGAGTATTTGTACACTGTTGCTGATAACAGAGGCAGAACTTCCTCCAGCGCTGGCAGCAGGTGTTGAACCTGTTTGGTTATCAGAGGGCTGCAGGAGGAGGAGGAGGAGGAGGAGGAGGAGGAAGAAGAAGAGGAGGAGGAGGAGCAGTAATCAGTAGGTGAGTATAAACACACACAAGGGCTGGTTAAAGGAAGGCGGGAAGGCAGAGAGACGTCCCAACTGCTCCCCCCTTCCCCTCAGTGGAGCCTGATCCTACAGGTTGAAAGGTGGAGGGGGGGGGGCTCTCTATTGACTGCAGGGTGTGTGTGAGCAGGATCCCAACCTCTTTTCCCACACTCTCCTTCCCATTTATTACACATCTTCCTAAAGGGATGAGCCGAGGAGGAGGAGGAGGAGGAGGAGGAGGAGGAGGAGGCACACAATAGAAGTGTGCCTTCCCAGAGGACTCTGGGTAATTGTGTTTGATTGACAGTTATGTTTTCCCTCCAATTCTATCAGTTTCCCTCCACGTCTGTGTCCTGAGTGGAAGAACTACAAAGACTAATACTGTAGACTAATAACTAATAAATGAATCACATTGGCTTCTAACTACAGATATTGATCTTTAGTTCCCTGCTGTCACTGTCTCATTCAGTTATTGTTCAAACAAACTTTATGTACAGAGTGTCGTACAGTGAGCTGCTGTCAGTGTGTCTTATCTTTATGTCTTTAGTGTCCTCATCAGGCTGTCCGCTGTCAGACAGCAGGAAGGTTCCCAGCTAATAAAAGTGTGTGTGTGTCCCTTCAGGTCTGTGCAGCAGTTAACCATGAGATCATTGATGCTGTTGTTGTGAGGGCCTCGCCCACTGGCCTCAGACTGTGGGAAAGCTAATCCTGCCTGGGACTCAGGGCTTTGTGATGCTAATGTGGGCCTATAAATAGAGGAGAGGGATCCTCAATCCCAGCACAGCTCGCTCTGCTCGCCCACAGAAGCTCAGTGCTCTACCAGAATGTCTCCGACCGACGCCTCGGTGCTCTCCACCAAAGACAGACACAAAGTAAGTCCTCCTTCACTCTCCTCAGCTCCTTTTCTCTGTGGCTGCTCCACTCGCCGTGACCCTGTCCCGAGTGAGAACTGCTCCAGCTCACTTTTATACTGTCGCATGGGGTTCCGTCTGACCCGTTCTGTTCTGTTCTAATATTGTAAAACTGTTGATTTTATTCTCACTAGAACAAGTTTCCTTCAATTTTTAATGACTTAATTTACTTTCTGCTGCAATTCTATTACAAATAAAAACCTAAAAACATCATAAAATGAATCACAATTGAGGCCTACAATGTCTCTTGGAGGGGCTGATATTGTCAGTATTTTAGAGACCCCCCCAGAATGTAACAACCCCACCTTGGCTCCCCCTGTAGTTCACACTGTAACTGACCCAGCTTCCTGTTGTCTTCACCAGCTGAGGAAACCGCTCGTGGAGAAGATGCGCAGAGATCGCATCAACAGCTGCATCGAGCAGCTCAAGATCATTCTGGAGAAGGAGTTCCACAAACAGGATCCCAACGCCAAGTTGGAGAAGGCCGACGTCCTGGAGATGACTGTGGTGTTCCTGAGGCGGCAGCTGCAGCCTCAGAGCCACGGCTACTCCCTCTGCTGGAAGGAGACGCTGCGCTTCCTGTCCGCCTCCAGCTCTCTGGAGGAAGTGACGCTGCCCGACATGCGCCGCCTCCAGGACGCCGCCAGCCCTGCGCCCGCCCTCTCCATCCAGGCTGCGGGGAAGCAACTGGTGGGGTCCGACAAAGGCATGTGGAGGCCGTGGTAGAGGAGGACACTGATGGACGGTAGGAGGAACACTGACGGAGAGGAGAGGAGGACACTGACGGAGAGGTAGAGGAGGACATGACGGAGAGGTAGAGGAGGACACTGACGGAGGTTGGACTCCTGTGGAGTCCTCGTCTATATCTGAGGACTGCGCGCTGCAGTGAGGACATTATCTTCCATGTGAGGATAAAACTAGTTTCACCTTTTATAAAGGACATAATAATATATTTATTTTGTTGTGTGAAGCTGATGATATTTGAATAAATTCATTTTTTATCTTTGAACCTTGTTCACTGGAATTCCACATGTTTTGAATCATTTATCCTCCACAGCAGGCGTCAGATCTACTGGGAACAGTTCATTAAACTGTAACTGATAAAACCTCCATATCTACGTTCTAAACTCAGCATCTTCAACAGGAACCAACATTTATGTTCTAGCAAATTCATTACTACACCCTGAAAGTCTGTACAGCCTACCAGGGACCAGGGACCAGGGACCAGTGACCAGGGACTGGGACCAGGAATTTCTGATCATTGCAGTTGCTTTTAAACACACACACAGATATTGTGCTCCTTTAACTTTAACTGGGTTGTTTCTCACATTCACTGTTTGCAGGTTCGACTCTTGGTCGGGTTTTCTTTGTAAATGAGAACTGGTCTGTACTGGTTCAATATCAAAATAAAAATATTATTAATATTATTATAAACAGACCTCAGGAAGAGAAGCTCCACCAACATTGTGATTTTTATTCTCGGTTTGTTTTTTTTTAAGTAATTTTTTTGTCATTTATGCCTTTATTTGACAGAGACAGCTGAACACAGACAGGAAAAGGGGGTAGAGAGAGAGGATGACATGCAGCAAAGGGCCGCAGGTCAGATTCAAACCCAGGCCACTGCAGCAACTC